AAGAAAAAAAGCAATTAAGGAAACTCCTTATTGATTTCCATGAAGTATTCCCAGATAATAAAAAGTTATCCTTTACTCATGAAATAAGGCATAGTATAATCACTAAAGACGAAATCCCAATAAGGAGCAAAATATACAGATATCCCTACATTCACAAGGAGGAGATACAAAGACAAATAGCAGAAATGTTGCAAAACGGTATTATTGCACCGAGCATTAGTCCTTACAACAGTCCTGTTTGGGTGGTACCTAAGAAACCAGACTCGTCTGGAATAAAAAAATATAGACTCGTAATTGATTATAGAAAATTAAACGATAAAACGGTGGATGACAATTACCCAATTCCGAATATAACTGATATTCTAGACAAATTAGGGAAATCCAATTATTTTTCTATTATTGATCTTAAAAGTGGATTTCATCAAATAGAGGTTGAAAAGAAAGATAGACCTAAGACTGCATTTTCAGTCGACAATGGTCATTATGAATTTAATAGAATGCCATTCGGATAGAAATATGCACCGAGCACTTTTCAACGATTGGTTGATAACATTCTTAGAGAGAATGTATCGAAAAAAGAATGTATGGTGTACATGGGTGACATTATAATTTTCTCGAATGGTTTAGAGGAACACATTAAAAATTTGAAATCAGTATTGCTAAAATTGAGAAATGCAAGACTTAAAGTGCAATTAGAAAAATGTGAATTTCTAAGAAAAGAGGTAGAATTCCTTGGTCATATTGTAAATGAGAAAGAAGTTTTTCCTAACAAAAAGAAGGTTGAAATTATAAAAAACATACCAATTCCTAAAACAGAGAAAGAGATAAAATCCTTTTTAGGAATGACCGGTTACTACCGGAGATTCATACAAAATTACGCTCATATAGCAAAACCAATGACACAATGTTTAAAAAAAGATTCCAGCATTAATATTACAAACCCAGATTATATTGCCGCATTTAATGAATTGAGAAAGAAGTTAACTGAAGCCCCCATACTTGTATATCCAGATTTTAATACACCATTTGAAATAACGACAGATGCTAGTAACGTAGCTATAGGAGGAGTTCTGTCTCAGAACGACAAGCCCATAGCATACATATCCAGAACACTAAACGAGCACGAAATTAATTATTCAACCATAGAGAAAGAATGCTTAGGAATTGTGTGGTGCCTTAAACAATTTAGACCTTATGTCTACGGAAGGAAGATTAAATTGTTTACAGATCACAAACCTCTTGTCTGGTTGAACAATTTAAAAGAACCAAATTCTAAACTAATGAGATGGAGGATGCAAATAAGCGAGTATGATTACGAAATATATTACAAACAGGGCCACTTAAACAAAGTAGCCGACTGTTTAAGTCGAATAGAAATCCATAATATTGAAGAGCAGGAGTCAGAAAAACTAATAAATATTAGTAAAAGACCCATAAATTTCTTTAAGAACCAAATTATAATAGAACGAAGATGTTCAGGATCAACTTCTATAAAAACAATGAAAATTCACAACTCAAACCGCAAGATTATTAAAGCCAAAGACTTCGATAACGATTTTGTTAAAACAATTATTTCAAATCACTTTTATGAAGGTAAACACAACGTTATTTACTTGACAGATGAATTATTTGGAGGTTTTCGAAAAAGTTCAACGAGAATTTTATAAAGAACTAAAAATAACCAGATGTTTAAATAAATTAATTGACGTGATAAACGAGGAAAATCTACATAATATAATATCGGCAGAATATTCAAGAAATAATCATAGAGGTATAGACGAAAATTTTGCGCAAATAAAAAGCACATACTACTATCCAAAATTAAAAGAAAATATAACTGAATTCATAAATAATTGCGAGATTTGCAATTTAGCTAAATATGAAAGAAAGCCTCAGTCAATACCATACATGATTTCAGAAACTCCGAAAGTGCCCAACGAAATAATTCATATGGATGTATTTTACTCTATCAATAAATCCCTTTTTATCACAATGATAGATAAGTTCACGAAGATTGCCCTTATTACTAAAATAGAGAACAGATCAGACCCCGAATTCAGGAAGGCTATTTTGAGATACATCAGTACGTATGGACATATAAAAAAGATTATAACTGATAACGAACTGGGAATGAAATCAAAGGGAATGAATAAATTTTTGAAGGACAAAAATATTGAAATCCATTTTACATCAAGTTTAAATCATAATAGTAACAGTGATGTTGAAAGACTCCATAATACCATAAATGAACATCTAAGAATCCTAAAACATACTATGAGACATATTCCAATTGAAGAACAAATGATTCTAATTAATGGTTATTATAACAAAACTATACATAGCACTACCAATATGAAACCTATTGATTTTGTAAATGGTAAAATAAATGAGAAGGAATATAATGAAATACACGAAAAACTAGTAAAGAAGAAAGAACTTAAAATCACAAAATTAAATGAGAGTAGAACTAATGACATACCCATCGAAGACGGCATTAATTATATCAAGGAGACACGAGGAGGAAAAAATTATCTTAAATTTAGGAAGATAGTAGGAACTAAGGTTGACGATAATCATTTAAAAGACGAAAACTCCAATCATATATATTACAAAACACATGTAAAGAAAAGGAAACGATTTCAAAATCCTGATAGTATCGTATTTCCAACTCAGCAAACTTCTAGAAGAGGAAACGTATTAGATACTAATAATAATTAAATTTCGTATGATATATTATTAATTTTTCCCAAATAAATTCGGTTATATTTGTAGAAATGAAACTGACACTGGCCCTCATATTCCTATCCTACGCAACGGCGAAATCAGAAATTGTTGATTTTGACAAAAATGAAGGCTATTTGCCCATCAAGGTTGGAGAAAAGAAGCTAATAGACCACTATATTAAAATTTTACATATCGTGAACATCACTACTAAGCTAAACTTACAGTTGAGGAAAATGTTAATTTATTGTATAAAACGTTGCCAAGTGACTCCATAAACGATAACATTTATGAAACATTGTCAAGGACCTTTAAAGAATTGGACATCAAATTGAAATCTATATTACCTAAGAAAAGGGAAAAAAGAGGACTAATAAACATTATGGGAAGTACATTAAAAATTATTTCGGGAACAATGGACGAAGAAGATAGGCAACAAATAATGGAATCCTTAAGAACCTTGAATACGGACACTTCAAATTTAATTGACGAAAACAATAAACAAGTTAGGATCAATAAAGAGCTACAATCTCAAATAGAAAACCTAAAGCAGAATATAGAAAATCAACAGAGATATATTAAGAATAATATAAACAATCTTATCCTCAATACTCAGATAAAAGACAACTTCCATTATATGAAAATCGTATTTCAAATTCATAATGATAAAAATTCTTTATTACATTTCATTGATACCATAGAGGACGTCATTTTGACGAGCAGATTAGGCATATTAACAAGAAATATACTGACGGACAAGGAGAATGATTTAGTTAGGTCAACGGACGAGTTTAGAGAAATAAAAATAGCTTCCTTAATTTTTGAAAATGACATTATTTTGACGCTCTTAATACCACGTTTCAGTACTCACATTTTCGAAAACTATGTTTTGGAGCCATTGGTGAATGAAAAGAATGAAAGTTTATTTTTAACAAGTAATGAGATACTTTTAGATAATAAGAGAAACATCTATATGACATCCCCTAAGGATAACAAAGTTAAAAATCTTGTAGTTGTTAATGATAAATTTATCGAAGATATCTTTAATTCAGCAATAATACAAAACTGTTTAAAAATTAAGAAAGAACCCGAAGAAATTATAAAAGAACTTGGATTTGGTCTTCTAATTGTAAAAAACTTAAAAAGAAAACAAATCATTCAAAATTGCAGTGATGACCCAATATTAATTGAAGGAACTAAAATTATTAAATTTGAAAACTGTTCAGTCAATCTCAACAATCAGTTATTTGTAAATCAAAATGAAATTGTCATTGATCATTATATAAGTCCCGGATACTTAAATCGAATCGAAAGTGACAATTATACCGAGGCATTAACTTTACATTTTATAAATATGAAAACTGTGGAGATCAGAAAAGAACTAGCAAAATCAAAACAAAAGATAACCAATAATAATGTACTATCGCACATATTAATGCTTATTGTATTAATTGGTTCCATTCTACTACTCGCAAAATATTTAATAAAGTATGTGATAATGAACAACAAAAATGTTCCGAGGACGGAAGCATTGACAAACGATGGGGGAGTTACAGTACCCACATCTACAGTACCCACTGTTACAATACCCACTGTGACAAATACTTTTTAAGAAACCCAAATCTGAAACAGTGTTGCAGATTCAAAATAAAGAAATTCCAATCTGCAACTATGGATAATTGGACGTTGTTGTTGTTTGTATTGATACCTGATTCCATAATGTTTCTTGTAATTCCGGAATTTATTGATATTTATTTGTCCACTAAAACTAAAGTTTTCAATGGAAGGTCCGTTTTTCTCAACTGCGCCAGTTGTGTTGTTGTTGTATTTTTAAATTGTTTATTTCAAAAGGTCTCAGTTAAATAAAATACTATTTTTTGTTGAAGAAAACAATTTCTTTTCCAAACGCAATACAAATACGATACAAATGACAAATATGAAAAAATTATTATAAAAAAAATAGGTAAAAAACTTTCTAATTTAAAATATTTTATGTTGAACTTACATTGCAATGTTTATGATAAATGTACTAAAAACCAAAAAAATAGGTGCCGTCGTGGGAATTATAAACATATGCATAGACTAGACTAAAATAAAACGTTTAACGCATTGTTTAGATATTATAAAATAGTATGAATTTTAAAATAATTTCTCGTTTGTGTGGTTTTTTTGGGGCGAAGATCCGCTAAGAATCACACATTACTAAGCACATTGTGTACATGTTTACTACATCTTAAGGACATTGTTATGTTATAATTCCATATTTTCGCTCTTTGCAGATTCCAGAGGAACTTATGTTAGATTATGCGGAAATAGCTTCCATACCACCGCTTCCTTTGTGGGTTCTCTTAAATGCGGATAAGGAAACATCAAATCAGGGCGCTGTCTCATCTGAGGATTCCAAAGACTATGATCAACTATTTGAAATGGACGCTGTTGATGAAAGCTTAGATGATCTCCTCGATAATGAAAATGAATACAAGCGGTCTGATAGGCGACTGTCAATTCCCGAGAAACAAAATATATCGCATTTCGGTCCCCGACAAGGCCAAATTCTATCAAGACTTTTAACACATACTCATCTTCCCGGTCTTTCCTCGCTCGACCAAATGCATCTTCTGGCATTAGCTGATACTGTTTCAACGTGTAATACCGACTTTTCTGAAAAGTTCATTACTGAATCTGGAAAAACAACAAGTAGGGAGATTTCAGGAAATTCATTAACAGATTCTCTAGATGATTGCGGTCTCAGATTTTTATTGGCAATGAAACATTACACATATCTTCTACGGTGTTTGCCATTAAATCAAAGAACACAATATCAAAAACATGGCGTTGGGACTTCGAATATTGTGTGGGCCTTCCATTCGGAGAGTGAGGAGGAATTATTAAACTTAATACCTTCATATAAAAAAGGAGATTTAAAATGGTCAATTTTAAGAGACCTTGGCGTGGGTTATTGGCTTCGGAATACAAATATATTGCGACAGTGTGTTGAAAAGCTAGCTAAATGTGCATATCAAATGAAACAGGATCCTCTTGATGCAGCTTTGTATTATTTAGCCATGAAAAAAAAGTCAATAGTGTGGGGACTATTCCGTTCGAAAAGAGACGAAAAAATGACGCAATTTTTTGCCAATAACTTCACGGAAGATCGCTGGCGTAAAGCTGCTTTAAAAAATGCGTTCGTTTTACTTGGAAAGCAACGTTTTGAGCATGCAGTTGCGTTTTTCTTATTGGCAAATTCTTTAAACGACGCAATTGAAGTATGCATTAACAAACTTGATGACTTCCAATTAGCCCTCATTATAGCACGATTGTATGAAGGGGAAATCGATATTAACTGTAATTCTACATATAAAAAACTGCTTTGCGAACATGTTTTGGGAAGTGACGACGATTCCATCAAGTTTAATTATGAAAAAGCGCATCCCGATCCGTTTTTACGATCTATGACATACTGGATTCTAAAAAGACATCAAGACAGTTTAAACACATTGTTACTATCAGGTGTTGGACAGTGTCATCCCGCTTTTAAGGAAGAGGATATGTTCAAAACAGAAAGTCAAGCCACAAATCCAAACGTATTCAATTTTTACATTTATTTAAGGACTCACCCCTTACTTGTGCGGCAAAATATAGCTTTATCGGCTCAGGAAAATAAATTATCGCATGTAGTTCTATCGGGATTTAGTTATGCTGGAGATTTAACGAAGAACTCAAAGAACGATAAACAATTGCAGATAGAAGATTCTATCAGTTCTATAGAACGCCAATTGTATTTCACAACTGCACACTGTCATTTCAAAGCTGGATGCCCTGCATTAGCTCTGGAAGTTCTGAATAAATTGCCAACAAAAGTTATTGATTCTACCGAAATGGAAGAATTCGACTCACCATGTAGAACCGATAATGAACTTATAAAAACTGGAATTGTTGATTGGGGAAAGCAAGCATCTGCAGATATTGCAGAAAATTTGACAACTTCCGCATTGGATTGGAGTACTCCTGTATCATTGACAATGAAAGAAGACGATCACTTCAAAATCGAATGGGATGACGATGATTATGATAGTAATGATGACATAAATAAAAAAGAAGAAATTAGTGCATCGGATGTTAATAAAGACGTTTGTATAATGTCCCATAATATGAACAAAATTGATATTATGGCTCAACAACTTAAGTTTGTAGCTTGTCTAAAGATTCTCATGGAAGAACTATCAACATTAGCCACAGGTTTTGAAGTTGATGGAGGACAGCTTCGGTACCAATTATACATATGGCTTGAAAAAGAGGTGGAAGCATTGCAGCAATTGTGCAATTATTGCAAATTTGATTCTTCGGATTTTAACAATACATCGGATATTTTGAAGGTAATTTATTTAATTTGTCTATGCATATTTACAGGAACATTACTTTTTTAATACATATTCAATCACGTTTGTTTTGATTTTCATTTGTGTTCTTTAATGTTTAAAAAATATATTGAAAAATAACTTATAGCCTGTTCACAGAACTTTTGTTTAAGGCAGACAAGCAATTGCTACCCAGAAAATCAAGTTTTTACTTCAGTTCATTTACTTTTTTCGTTTGGAAGTAAAAGCTTAATATTGTCCTACTGTCAAAAATTGTTTATGTTTCCAAAAAGAATAAACAAATATTATTTTTTTTTAATTATTCCTTTCGTTGCTTTCAGACGTGGCGTATCGGTGCCCTGACATAATTCTCACGGGCATAAACCGTATTGCAATTATGGGTATTATGCCCGGTTTGTTTTTGGTCATAATCCCCATAATAATGTGGGGATAGTGTCCGCTTCCAACACAGACACAACCCCCATGGGAAGTATGACCGTTTGCTGTGTGGACTACTTACAAAAATAATTAATTTTAGAAATCTTTGATTCGCGGTAGCCGGTGCAGGACACGCTCAGAGAAGATCTCAAGCCCCGGCCAAAGGCCGGCTACTTGCAAAAATTATAAATTTTGGGTGCAGGAAAAAATCTCAATTTGTTGGGCATTTTTTGGAAATTAGAGGACACAATTCCCATAATAATGAGTATGTCCAAAGACTTTCCCTCTGGATATGTTTATCACCGGCTATCGCAAATCAAATATTTCTAAAATTAATTATTTTTGTACGTAGTCCACACAGCAAACGGTCATACTTTATTGTTTGGATTATGGGGATTATCACCGTAAAAAAGGTCATAATCCCATAATTGCAATGAAGATTGACACCGTGGGGATTATGTCCGGGTGCCGGTTTTTAATTTTCCATTTCAAATAAAAGTGTAAATGGGTGTGGCGTGTAAATCCGCCAAACGTTAGGTGATGGCACAAACCTCGAAATATTAATTCTAGACCCACGATTTTACATATGTGTCTACCTATATCTACGAGCTGGGCCGATTTAGCTATGTGTGTCCGTCTGTAACTTTTTTATTTGTAGTCACGCTACACGTCACAATTATGACGCAAACCTCACGAAATTAGGCGTTGAGTCAGGATTTGGGTCAAAATAAATACCTATAGGACTTGCAATGGACCAACAAGAGATTTTTCCGATTTTGTAGTCTTTCAGGTCAATTTGCGCCAAATTTTGCGTGGGTTAGAGTTGAGACCAGAAAAGAAGCGCATCTATTGGGATCGACACAGCACAGCGGATGAAATGGACCATAGCTTTTGTGTGAAATATCAATTTTCAAACACAATATTTCGTTTTGTTTGTGTTGGAGTTAGGTGAACCAAAATTTGCCTGTAGATAAAAGGTCTTTTTATTTATTTACGTACGTATTTGTCTGCCATTTGCCCTACAATTGGAAGAAAAATAAGTTTGGTGAACAGGCTATTATTCATTCAGTCTGAAATATTCCTCGATATAATCAACACGTGCCTTCTTAATTGGTGACCCGTGTTAATTTTAAATCATAACGGTGATCTGCCTTAACAAGGCAAAACTCAAAAAAAGATGAATGTTTTTCTTCCGTTCTGTATGTGCAGCTTTTGGCACATCAGGTTTTAGGTGTGGAAATTCTGCCATCGCAGAATTTCAAACTTTGTTTCCGAAAATTGAATGCCAATATTTCAACGCATAATTTACGTAAGAAGAAGTAATATACAACACTATATTTGGATCATTTGAGACAAATATTTTCAACGCTGTGAATCATATTATGGAGAATCCTCGAAAAAGTTGATATTAAACATTGAGTAACGCTTTACCATGTTTTAAGAATCAGATGGTTGAAGATAGCAGCAATTGTTGAAGTTAGCGTTTTCTAACAATGTAAAAGGAGTTCAATCCGTAAGTCATGACAGCATAGACGATCTGTAGATCATTATTAAATAATTGGCCAGCTTGGAAGTTCCACAATATCTATGGTGACTCAAACGCAACCAAAGGAAAAGCTTCATGAAGTTGAGGAGAGTCGAAAGAAGACAGACAAACGTAAGGTTAAATAGACAATATATAAACAGGGTGGAAGAGAGGCTTCAACAGCGACAACGAGAAGAACTCCCCAGAGTTTATGTGATGGTGGGAGATGAGTTGAGGGTGATAGAATAGAAGAATATGTCAAGAAAAAACAAGTAAAAAAGCAGTAAGTTCGGCCGGCCCGAACTTTGAATACCCTTCACCATTTGAAACGAATTAGAAAAATTTCAAAAAAATATCGGAAGGTGCCGATATATGGGGGATATACGATATTGTGGACCTATATAGACAAATCTATGTCTGGGAGTGGGTAAAGTACTCACAAAGAACTCCTTTTGTAGACCTAATATCGAAGAGTTACCGTTATATTGGGGCTATACGATATCGTGGACTTATATAGATAATTATCTTACAGGGGATAAAGTACTCACAAGGAACTCTTTGTGTGGAATTTCAGACAATACCATTGGAAAATGTGGCTAAAATCATCAAAATACCAAATATCGGGGGTACCGTTATATGGGGGATATACGATATCGTGGACCTATATAGACAATTCTCTTTCATCTCCCGTTATAAAAACGTGTGTTTAGATGCCGAATGTCAAAGGAAGAAGAAGACATACAAAAATTATCGAGTCAAATTTGTATCTGTTTATAACTCCAAGTTCAATAAGGAAGCGACATATTTGGGCTGGGTCCATAGCGATACTGGACCTTATCTTCCCTGGATGGACTTCTACTACTTTCGTCAGTGACCATCAGGCCGGGTGTGTTTCTTCATTCTTCAATATCACCGCCTTATCTATTTCCCCATTATTACCTTGTTTTTCTAGCAGCTTTTACCTATTACGACATCCTAAGTTTCCTTCATGGATAGTCGCCGGTGTTTCTAACATTGGACGGATAATTATGAAATGCCCTTTCATTAGAATGTCAATATATTCTGTAGGACCAAACTCATATAGCAGCCTCGAATATAATACTGCTGAGATAGCAATTATTCTTTTTGGGTGATATTCCACAGACTTTACTTCTGCTTCCTAAATTCCCCCAATGTGAAGGGTAGCCGGTGGAATGAAATGCGCATCTTCAATTTCATTACTTCCCCTGGCTATTCTCTTTCTTTGTGCAGTTTTATTATCTTCTCCTCTGCTTCTTTAAACTCTTCTTCGTTCAATGGCTTTCCACCGTAATATGTTTGTTGTCAAAGTCTCCGGTGGACCACCCCTCGAACTTATTATTGCTGGATTCTCCTTCGACTTGACATATCCCCATTTCGCGTTGGGTATTTGCTGTAAAATATCACTCCTTTTTATAAACTTATTGTTTTTGGAGTTTTGAATCCAAGCTAAGGAAACCATGGAATCACCCCAAGCATAAGCTGACGTTGCTTACTTCAATACTCCTTTGATCTTCTGTAGTATTTTCGCCAAAAGATGTGTTGCATAAAGTTCCAGCTTTGGAAGTTTTTTTTGTACTTTTTAGCTCGCTTTTTGCAGCCACAATGGTCACCATCTACAAATGCCTTCTCGGAAGCATGTAAATACAGCAGCATTATCTTCTAATATTCCAAACCTTCTAAACTGTCTCAAGTTCTCGCCCAATGGAAGATTTACTTTATATCCATAACTGCTGTATAAGAATTTTGCTTTTTTTCGTGACAAGAGTCAGCCAACTCCCTTTCCTCTATAAAACATGAAAATTACAATGTAGCCGGAAAGAAATCTAAATTTATATTTAAGAACAACAGTTTTTTTTTTGGTGTTGTTTAAAATAACCCCTGTGGAGACAAAAACCAAAGATGAGGAGTTGTGGCACTTTCCAAAACCTGCCTTTACCCCCTGATCAACATTACCATCCTTCTCCACTAACAAAGTAACTACAGTATCCTGAACAAGAATGCCAAGTCACCGTCAACGAAGGGTTTTTGTTGTAACAGACAAAACAAACTTACATGAACAAATGCATAACAACGGGATAGAAATAAAAGTGTTTATAAGAAAAAACCCAAAAAAATTAATTTATTTCAATTCGGCTGCATTGCCTGCGAAAACTGTGGATGCAAATATCGTGAATGTGACGGTAGAGCCCAAACAAAATCCAAGCCCAGTTTTTATCTTGAACGTTGTAGCTGTGGAATGAAACACAAGCCTTTAGATGGATTATCTTAGAATTCTCTTTAATAGAATTTCACTAGATTCGCTTAACAGCTTCTGAAGTCGAATTAGAATAGAATTCAAGTTGATGCGGAAATTCGACTAACAATATGGCTAATTAGAGAAGACCGATAACAAGAAAATTTATCTTAACTTCGATAACACTTTGAATGGATAGTACACTAACAATGGTGATATTTACGTTGAATAAAATTCGTATGATCATAACATATTATATATTATAATACAATATACCTTTCAACAATTCTTTCAACTGGCGTATCATTTATTAAACAATAATCGTAAATTCTGCATAAAAATTAAAATTTCGGCACCAATCCGAAAAGGGTATTTTGAGCTATAGGCGGACCATGACGAATAAATATACCATGCAAAATTATTTTCGAATTGAGGTCAACCCCAATGACAATATACGAAGCGTTTGGAATGCAGTCCACGGGGGCTGCGAAACCCAATGAACACCTAACACACAAGGAGGTAATGCTGGATGTTGATGTTGACCTCGGAATATAATTTGCCGGGTGAATCTACTCTTCTGAGAATGTCGGCAACACACATTTTTTGATCATTACCATGATAGACACGAATCATTCTGCCCAAACGCCAACAAGTCGGTGGGAGATTTCTTCTTTAATAACCACCTTGCCGTTCTGATCTTTTCAATATGGTCCTTTTATGAAGTTCCTTCAGATATTCAGCCTTCCATCTGCCACAAAAATGTTCTACATTTATCGAATTCGTTGCCAGCGATTTTGGATTGATATGGATGACTGGGAAATTTCTGGTTCTAGGATAACCGATACTGGGGTCAATGCGGTGAAATGTGAAGGGCTTTAAGAAGATGGGGATATTGGTCTAGAGATTACACACGCCTCAATTTTAATCATCATTGTCTGAAATTCTTCGTACGTATGTGATGCCAGCCATTTTCTGGAAATGTTGTTTAAAATTTTTGACGCCGGCTTCCCAGAATACACCCATAGGAGGAGCTCCGCGAGGTATGAAATGCCATGTTAAATGTTTATAGGCGTAAGTGGACATTATTGCTTGATTCGAAGTATCGATAAAAACTTTTGCGATTCTTTTGGAAGCTCCGACGAACGAAGTTCGTTCGACCTTTTGTAAATTTTCACCTTTTGTAAACTTTCAAAAGAGTCCACCTCAAAAACAACAGCACTAATTATCGGCAGTCAAGGATTACCTATATGTTAACAAATTATATCTGGAATGCGTATTAAATCAAAGGACATTTTTAGCATTTTTTCCTACTTCATTTATGACATCATTGTCTTGGTTGAAAGATTCCTCCAACCAGACATTATTGTCGTTTCGGTTGCCAGATGTTACTGTTTCAAAATCTTGAAAGATGATATCCATTTAATCTATTCCGCTTTAGTCCACCAAACTTCTTGGTTTTTGTCACTCTTTATTAGCCTAGCTGAAAGCTTGGTAGTATTTAGTATGGGGACTACAAATCCTGGCCAAGCTTTCGTGACATGTTTACGGCCATTTGTATTAGAACTTCCAAATAAAGCCCGATGGAAAATTTTTCTACCTAAGTCAGAAAACCAAGGATGAAGCACACGATATCGTTAGAAAAAGTACTTTGGCGCCTCAGCGTGGAATAATCTATATTCCAGGTTTGAGACCAAAAGAGTGCTAGTAAATGGGCAACTTAAGAATTTATTTTCCCTGGTTAATATCCACACAGTAACTGCAACCTCCATAAAGAATCTTCAAAGGGACATGAACTCTTGTATGTCCACTCTAAAGCTTTAGGATGTTGACGTTGAAAGTTGGAATCCGATTTTTGTGTTCATTTGTTCCAACTGTCTTCCAGACCCTACTTTAACTTTATGGGAATAAACACTACCGGATAAAACCGAAATGGTCCGAACTGGATATATTCCTTACCAACAGATACAGAACTGTGGAGGCTGTCTCTGAAATGAGAAATTCTTCTGATTCCAAGTCCAAAATAAATAAATCCAAATACCAAAAATCAGAAGGACAGACTTCAAACATGCCAAGCCAAATGTCAACGTACCTAAATACCGTTTATGTTCAAATGAATTCATTTAATAAGGATATGTCCTCGGCTCCTTCCAATTGATTACGCAGAGATTGGTGGAAATAAAGGCCAGTAATCTCTGTCTAAATTTTTTGAAAATTTCTTGCTTCAAATGTCAAAAACGACAAAACACTCTCCTGCATAAAGATGTGGAACAACAAAACCCGCCCATCAACAATCCTTTTTTAGCTTCCAATATACCAATACAAACGCCTACAACATTTTCGTTCGGATCTTCTGCAAATTCCTCCATATAGTCGACTAACTCTCCAACCGATGTCATTCAGAATTGTTTCGCAATCAATTCAAACGGCGTTTTGCTTGGTAACGTTGCAGTGAAAGCAGTTCTTGCAGGTAATGATTATATACCGAGGTCTCTCATAGATTCAGGTTCAGAAGGTACCTTTATATCGCAAAACCTTGTAAATGCTCTCAGGTTACCCACCAAACCTACATCCGCAGTCATGCCTCAATAACACGGTTTCCGCTGCTGTCCAAAAAGAATGTCGCTTTATAATTGGTTCTTATGCAGATGAAGACTTCGAGATTGATGTTTTAGGGTCTGATATTCTCTCTTCGTTAACACTATTGGACTAAGCTGATCCGTATTTTTACAGAAACTCCAAGATTGATATTCTACTGGGGCAGATTTACTTCCATCTGTAGAATAATATGGGTTCTGGCGAGCGATTTGGGGATCCTTATACGCCCAGGAGTCTTTAGATGGATCCTCACTTGTCCCATTCCAACAAAGGCTCCAAAATCCTTCTCTAAATGTGTATCGTACTTCTGCGAAGTTCCTTTAAGGAAAAGTCTTCTGAAATGTTGGGAAGTAGAGAATATTTCACAACAGCGTGTGATTTCCAAATCAGATCGATACCGTGAATAGTTTTATTAGAAAACGACAACCCGGAATGAAATGGAAGATATATTGTTTCGCTTCCGCTTAAAGAAAAATGTTTAGATTCATTAGCCTTTGGTTCAGTCAAGAAAGGGTGCAATGGCCCAATATATTAATATATATGATTCCAGTTGTACTACTATTTGCCGCTTCAACAGCATGATACGTAACCAGATAGCTTTACCACTAAACTCCGTATGGTTTTCAATGCTTCTAGATCGAATGGTATAAGTCTTAATGATGGTTTTTTATACTGGTCCAGCCTTACAGATCGGCTTGACTATCCTTATCCTTTAACTATTCTTATCCTTGTTCCTTCTTCTCACACCCACTTTCGCAGAATCCTTTTTCGACAAAATCAAACTAAAGCAATAAGGGACTACGAGTTAAAGACTGTAACCTTTGGTGTTAACTGGTTGCGCACCGTATCTTGCGATGCGTACGATGGTCCAACTAGCCAATGACGTCCACGATTCATATGCATTAGCCAGCCATATTTTGAGGAATTGCATATACGAGGGGGGTTCGGAAACTTCTCACCCTATCAGTGAAATTTTAGCCATTGTACTTTAATTTTAGCCATTGTTAAAACAATTTTGTGCGCTGGTGCGTTGTCTTGATGAAAAAATATTTTTTAGTACTCTGAATATATTATTTTATTGTTTTTTTTTTTTCATGTAGTTAGACAATAAAATGCCTTTGAGGTCCCAAAAAACCGTTGCCATAACTTTACCAGCCGATTGAATTGTTGATGCCTTCTTTGCGGCACTACTTTTTTTTTATTTTGTCTCTGGAGTATAGTGGTGGATTCATGTCAACAGTTATGAAACGACGCTTAAAATCCATTTTATTTCGCTTAAAACGATCCGAACAAGTTTGAGAAATGTTCATTCTTATGCGTTTTGATCGACTGTTAACAAATGTGGCACCCATCTCGCAGAAAGTTTTTTCATCTGTAGTTCTTCATGCAAAATTAAATGGACTCGATCATTTGAGATGCCCATGATATTAGCAATTTCACGCACTTTTATCCATCGATCATTTAATACCATATCCATAATTATGTAAATATTTAATGACAGCACGCATTTCTAATTGTTCCATTAAAAAATAATTGCGGATGCGCCTTTGTTTGAACCCTTGTTTCTATATGAAGGAGTTGCCAGATCGAAACAAAATTTAACATTTGTTCATAACAGAGATGGAAGTTTTTTTCTATTTATACCGCGGTTTTCGTGCCAGACTAAGAAGTTTCCGAACTGCCCTCGTATGGGAAGCAGGCGTAAAAAGTTTCAAACAATTCCAGAAAATGGCTGGCATCACATACGTACGAAAAATTTCAGACAATGATGATTAAAATTGAGGCGTGTGTAAACTCCAGACCAATATCCCCATCTTCTTAAAGCCCGTTGGTTTTGTTTGTTTTTGTATGTTACAATAAAAAAAACCCCTTTCGTTGTTGTAAAAGACAAAACCAACTTACATGGTTATTCTACTTCGTTCAGGTAGATCGAAAGCACGAAAGCAAGTGGAGAAAGATGTAAATGTTTATAAGTGAGGTTGTAAGACTTAGAAGACTTTCCAAAAGAATTGTAGTTTTATTTAATTCTTTGGCTCCTCTTCTATTGAGCTTACGAGCTCGTCACTTGGTTAAAATAATGTTTTTTTTTTTTACTTTAACTTCTGGGGATAATATCCCAGACAACAAACAAGATGATGCGGATTGCTGGCTCTGGATATATATATATATATATATATATATATATATATATATATATATATATATATATATATATGATTTTACTTCGTTCAGGTAGAACGAAAGCATAACAAGTGGAGAAAGATGTAAATGTTTATAAGTGCGGTTGTACGTTTTAGATTTTCCAAAAGAATTTTAATTTTATTTAATTATTTGGTTCCTCTTCTAATGAGCTTACAATCTCGTCACATGTTGGAAAAAAATATTTTTTTCTTAGAAGTTATTTTTAAATAACTTCTCAGGAGAGTATCCCAGACAAAAAACAAGGGAACTGATGAGGATTGCTGGCTCTTTTCCGAAACCTAGGTATTCCCTGCCTTACCCTGGTAGACATTACCATAGTTCTCCACTAATAAAGAAACGTTGTTTTTATGAAAACAAGAATAAAATGACATTTTGCAACAACAAAATATTACTGTATCCCGAACAAACAAGCCAACACTGTTCTATTATTTTTACCTTTCAGGAGAAAGACAGCCCTGCTTCTCATATACTATCAGATAAGCCAACACTTCACGAGATCTTACAACACGAAAAACATGATTTCGAAGCAAAAGTGATGAGAGCTGCGAAAAGAAAGAAGTGGTTAAAAGGTAAGTTATTTAAACTTCATTTTAACACGTAATATAAATTGTTAGAGCAAAAAGTAAAGATAGATGGCAACCATATTTTAATGAAGCCATTTTTTTAAATCCTAAAGAAAAAAATAATATTTTGCCGTTTATAAACAATATCTATCGTTTCAAACTACATACATGGTTATCATATAAACATTCGAGATGCCAAAACAAGTTATGCGATAGGTAAAGCAAGCATTCTGAAAAGAATTGCCTATTGTCATGTGAAAGAAGTCCAACAGTTTTTGCCGGAATGATATCATTGTTAGCACTGTGAGTGCTAAGGTTTCAAAAACTTCATAACTTCTTAACTCGGCCTGTCAATAAAACATGTATAGATCATGTTCATTTCAATATTTTAAAATCAACAAGAGTGCCATAAATTCAGTGCACTCAGTGCAATTGTACCAATGTACTATTGTGATACCGTATATTTTGTCTGTGTTTTTGATAAGTTATTTTCATACCTTTTTATTGAGCTTGCTTTACCTTTAATCACTGGGAATGTCTCACGACATGTCAAATTTAATTAACATTATATCGTTTGGCAATTTTTCCCCTTAAACAAGAAATAAATTGATGTCTATAAAATATGAACTGAATCCATGGATAAATACAAACTTACAAAAATTAATCACATACAACAATAGGCTCATGAAGCAAAGGAAACAGTTTTTAATAATATCAGTCTTAAAGAACGATTGAAGAGAATAAGTAAAGTTATAAAACAGACCTAAAGATAATCAAAAAAAAAAAAAAAAAAAACAATTACATTTTATATTTAAAATGGACATTATATATTTAAATGGTTTTACAGAACATTTGTAAATTCAATCTAAAGCTTGAAAGATAAATTGGCGCAACAATTCACGGCGAGAATTCCATTGTTTTCAAATTTATAGCGAGCAATAAAGTTGCCATGAGCGCACAAGCATTTGCAATCTTTCACGAGTATAAGCATTGAACGAAAAATTCACGAACGATAAAACGAATGTTGCACATTCATTCGCTGTTTTATGAACAGGTAGAACGTTTTATGATGCTGTTTACAGTAATGAATTTTTACTGCTTTTTCATTCCGTATCCAATCGCTTTTTAGGCGTTTATTTTCCAATCGCCCAAGTTCAACGAAATACGCCAGGCACTTAGACAAAATGAAAGATGTTAGCACTTGTGTGAACACATCACATGTCTATTTTCAATTCATTAAAAAACAACTTTTCACTTCAAGTATTGCAAAGCATACAGATATAGATAAAATAGTGCAATTCATATTGCTTTTTAGACGTTTCTTTTCCAATCGCCCAAGTTCAACGATATACGCCATGCACTTAGACAAAATGAAAGATGTTAGCACTTGTGTGAACACATCACATGTCTATTTTCAATTCATTAAAAAACAACTTTTCACTTCAAGTATTGCAAAGCATACAGATATAGATAAAATAGTGCAATTCATAGTAAAAACTGAATAATAAATATATCAAATGACAATGGATTAAAACATGTAGACAAAATATTAATTTAAGGTACGTTATTGCGCTGAATGTCCTTTCTACGGACACATGATTGATCATTTTCTTTAGATTACAGATTTTTCTAGTACTTACATGTACAGGGTTGCCCATATTCGACGGACCTTTGGGCCCATTCCAATCGACGAGACTTATCCACAGGCAACATTCTTTGCGTCAATTGAATTTTGTACGGGAACAAATGCAAATCAATGCGAATAATCCGTTGTAAAGTGGACCGAGCCATTCCCAACTGCTGAGAACGGCGTTCTTGGGGACCTCTCAACACTGGCTCGTACGTCAGCGATATTCTCGGCCGGTCGCCTTGGTCGACTTTTATATGGCCTCTTCGGATTAGAAAGAGCCTTACCAGTCGAGAATTTTTCGTATAAACGCTTAATGGTGTTCTTAGAAGGCGCACTTCTCACATTTTTTAATGTTTTAAAAGCACGTTGAGTTTTCACAATTGACTTCTTGTAAATTTCAACTATTTCAGAGGGCTCGCGTGGCGTGTATTGGTTCATGGTAAAAATCTGCTTGGACTGACGCTTCAAACGCGGTATGTCATTAAGCGATGTGACATCTCTGTCAAAAGTTATGGCGTTGCCAGATGGGTCCGTCGAATATGGGCAACCCTGTATTACTGTAGACTAAACACAAATGTTTACTGCGCTCACGCATAACCGGCGAAATGAGCGATCGCAATCAATCGCGAAAGTTCGTTGTCACTGGTGAGTGATTGACATTGAAAAATTTCCGCGAAGAGTTCTTCCACCCCTTTGAAGCTTAGATGCCAAATAAGGGAAACATCAATTGAAAAATGTGACCAGGACTCTGGAAATAGTTGAAATCGCCAATTTGAAAGGGGCTTTATAATTTGAGAGGGGCTTTATCACAACGTAGACCGACCTGATACATATTTTATACAAATGATTCCTTATGTAAACTCTAGGACTGTATCAAATTAAAAACTGTATCGTTAAGCATTTGAGGACCTTTGTGTATGGTTGGATGGATTATTTCCATATCTAGTCAATTTTTTGTAGTTTTGAACCTCAGAATTGATAGTAATTTCAAAATTAAAATCCTGTCAATGTGACTTTAATTTAACTATAATAGATAAAGTTTAATCGGTTTAGAAAACTTTGTCGAATAAATTATGTCCGTGAGCCTCTTTGTTCACCATTTCCAATTACAATAGAGGTCACCAAATTTAATATGCGTCTTTCAAACATTGCACAGGCTTATATATTATTCGTAGGATGATTAACGTTACAAAAGGTATATATTTATTCTCATATAATATTATCTCCTAATATTGGTCGTGCTCTAGTTTGGCTGATTTGATGTTTTTTGAAGGACTCAAAAGCATTTTCGAGGTTATAAAAAAAATCCATATCAGAATAAAAAAAGCTAATTTTTTCAGTTCTGCGATTTTTTGAGGCTTTTCTCAATATTTTCTTTCGTGAAAACGTTTCCACTGTAATTACAAGTAACCAAAAGAAAATTTGAATCGGCCCAGCAGATCTCAACTGATGTGTTACTATACTTTTTTATACCTTACAATACTATGTGTTGGGGGTATTATATGTTTGATTGAGCCAAAAATTATGTAACGCCTCGAAATATTGGTTTCCCACATAGGAAAGTATATATGGATCTTCCTATCTCGCCGAACTGAGTTGATCTAGATATGTATGTCCGTCCGTCCGTCTGTCCATGTTAATTTCTAATCACTCTACAGGTCGCAATTATGGCCCAATCTTCACGAAATTTAGAATGAAAGTGGGGCAGAATAGAACCCTATTGTTTTTGGAGAAGATGGCATAATATTTATATCTCAAGAATGGTTGGACCGATTTTGACAAATTTTGTCAATTCAGAATGCCCTCTTGCCATAAAAGAATAAAATCTAAAAAAATTACATAAAAAGATGCCAATAATGATGTTAATATGGATTTTCTGGTATTTTGTGATTTTTTTTTATTTTTTCATATTTTTTATCGCATGCGATGCTTTCAATTTGACTTATAATATTGAAGTGTACATTTTGTTACATTTTTTCACCTTACAACACAGGTTGTGGTTATTATATGCAGATTACAATTATCGTCCCGTCCTCGAAAACTTTTACAAGGGTAGGATTAGGACTATTTTTTTTTAAGATGTCCGCAATATATTTAGGGGTTGAAATGGACCAACAACTAACAAAGTTCCAGCCGCTATAAAGGTCCGAAATAAAAACCAAAGGACACGAAATCTCGCATGAAGTTAGAGTTTAGGACAGCGGGTATATGGACCACTGCTTTTATATGAAAAAAATACCAACAGTTCCATTCTACCGAAACGTTGAAAATAAATTACAGCCGAGGTTCAAAATACACGAAAGGCAGACTTCTGGCTTTTTTATGCTGATTTCGTTGACAAATATAGCCAAATATCGTAGACAAATTATATATATGAGTCTAAATTTAGAGATACAAAGGGGCCTCTTGCATTTAGAGATGATTGGTTCAAATGATTTAGGGGTTCAAATGAACCAAAAACAGAAACATTTTCCTGATCACACAATTAAAATTGAAATTGAATTTGGCATGAGAAGAGAGTTAAGGACAGTGAAGAAGTCTTGAATGTTGGATGACCATTGGATTATATATAACTGTAAAATGGACCACAACACCCAAAAACAGGACGGAGTGCGTAAATATTGGGCATGTTTTCCTGGTCAAAAATGTAAGGGAAATATCTGGGCAGTACTCTATGTCATAATTTCAAAAGCGTAATCTTGCAAATGGATTTGGACATAAGGGGGCTTCTAACATATTGTTGTGTTCTAGGCTATCACGTAGTCATCCCCGCACGAGCATAGCTTTGCTATATAGCCAGTTCCTCTGTTCCCAAATAGATACATACATAGGGTTGGAGCGAGAGTCAAGAGTACGTCATATACCAAGTATGGAATACATATCATCATTATTTTGGCAAATATTAAGAAAAAATGGGCGTAAAAATAGGCATGGTCACCTTTTCTTTGCATAAAAACCTAACTCAGCCCCTAAATAAATACATAGGGTTGGATGAAAGGTCAACAGATCATTATTTTGGCAAATATAAGGATTTTAGATAAATTGAAGTAGTAGGCGTAAAAGTAGGCGTGGTCAATATTTTTTCCTTTAAAAACCTAACTCAGGCTCAGGATGCCGATTATGTAATAGTGCTGAACTTTATTACTTAAAGACTTACTTACTGAAAGAAAAGCCTATGCTATGCCTATGCCTATGTGGAAAAAAAGTAAACTGCTATTTCCGGTATTGATTTCACAATACTGAAAACTTTAAATGTCAAATTACAGTTCATTCGATAGAAATTATAACAAAAACATGGAAAACGACGAATGCTTAGCGGTATTATTATACCTAAACGAAACTTATATTTCAACTTCCTAGGAATATTGTATAAAAG